CCATCACTGAAATGCAGCTAAATACACCACTATGGGTGTTTTTCAAAAGTCTAAAGAAATTGATATTACTAACAGAATAAACAGATAGGAAACCAAAACAGATGGAGCAGTGTGTTCTTCCTTCCATCATTCAAGATCAAAACCACTCTCTAGTTTGTGCACGTACCTGAGCTGTTCTCGCTCTCCCTTCAGCTGTGCTGAAATCACCCCTGTGGACATGAGTTCTTGGAGCAATGTTACCTACAAAGAAAAAGCCTTTTAAGACTGCAGATCTGTTCATACTTGGTTAACACAGTCTTGAAAGAAAAGGGTCTTGGTTCTGCAGCTTTGCAATAAATGGGTAATTAATGCAACAACACTGGTGGCAAGTGGCAGAATTTAGTCTGTGATTTTTCTGATTTTTCCAAATTCGTGTCATACTAACTATGCTCTAATTGTATTGGTGAAGAACTGATCTCAAAAGGATTACTGATCTACAAAGAGAGAGGAATAAGGCTGGAATATACTCCCTCTGCTTCAAAGTGCTACCAGCAAGTTACAGTTCTACAAGAGACTTTGAGGAAAGAGCTGTAGAAACAGCAGTATGGATGGTCACATTCTGAAACTTACCAAAAGCTAAACACTTTAGCTTAACTCCCAAGGTAAAGAATTAAGACAAAGAAATTTTGCAAAGGACAGAGCAAATGTATCACTATACCACACTTTTGAACACCCTGTTGTACTCTGTTCCCTTCAAAAAGTAAAAAAGATGCCATGAAACCTGTGGTTTGATACAAAAAAAACCCACGGTCAGTACCAGATCCCCATTTTACATTAGCTGTAGAAAAACAACTGAACAATTTAACACTCCCTGTCAATTTGCCTTATACAAATTATAAGGCTTTTAATAAGTCCCTGTTATTAAAGGTTCTCCCGACAGCGCCTGTTGTGCACAGCAGTCCTGGCAACACTGTGGGTTCCAGTAAGAGCAAGCACATCCTTGAGCAGCAGCTCAGTCACATTTCAGTCTGTCACTGTCATACAGTAGGCTGTTATGTAGTTTAAACACAAAAAGGGTTTTTAAAATAATAATGAGACATTTCATTCTTTTGTTACCTGGTAGAGTTGGTGCAACTCCTCTAGATGTCCTGCCTGAGTTGGTTATGGCTAGCCAACCTGATTTTCATAGAAGAATGTCAGTTCTTGATGCTGGCTTGCTGCAAGATCCCCAGTGACTTTGATCTACTGCAGAAAGCCTTAGACAAGGAAACCTTCTAACATCACTGGGCAAGACCCATGCTGAGAACATTTGTTCTGAAACAAACGCTGGCAGGAATAAATCAAGAAGTTCAAAAGGAAATAAAAGAGGTTAGGCAGCTTCCATACTCAGACAACAGAACAAGCTTGCTTCTTATTCAATTAGATAATACTACTACTAACTCCACCCAGAGACATTTTATGGGGGCCTAGGTGTGCACTGAGAGTACTGATGATATATAAAGGATATGATTTATAACTGCTAGTGTCATTTTTACATTGTTCAAAAATATTTTTGTGCGAGTTTGTATCAGTTTTCCAAAGTAACATAACAAAAGGTAATTTCTAGTCTCACTAACTACAGATACCAATATGTGAAAAGGGAACATGCTGGACAGGTGATGTTTCTGAGTTAAAGAGCAAACAATGTTATTCCCCCTGAATGAGGAGCACAGGACAGCAGGCAGATTTTTGAAATGTTGGAACCTCTAAAAAAAATTCCACTCCCCTCCCCATACTCGAGTCCTTCCCAGGGTAAACTGGAGATAGGGCAGCTCAGAAGAGCATCCCAAATAGTTTGCTTTCGTATCCTCCCACCAAGCCATTCCAAACCACACTGGCTTGATAAAAACCAACCCCAGCTATTCGTGATCCCATACTGCCTGCCTCAGAGAGGTTTAGTTTTGCCTCTGCTGGAAGACACCCAGCTCCCCAGTCCCTGCCTCCCCAACTTGGCGGGGAACGGGCAGAGCAGCCAGCTCAGAGCTGGGCAAGGCAGCAGGCAGCCAGGGTGGCAGAGCTCCCGGGTGGGATGGCTGGGGCAGCAAGCTGACACCAGCCAGGCTGCTGCATGCCCCAGTGGCACATTTGGCCTGCTGCGAGCACCAGTCACACACATCCCTCTCTAAATAGATGCACGCACACGATTTACTTCAGTTTTTCCACATGAGAATTCAGAGAGAAGGTCCAAAGGGAAGAGAGGGAACCATAGCTGAACTCAGATGAGACACAGCGTGTCCCAGTTCTCCCTCCTTTGCTCTTTTCTTTATCCACTGTGCTATAGCAAGGCAAAGAAACTAACAGATCTTCTGACAATGGTAATGGGTCACTTTACAGTAGACATAAGCCTTGAGGAAAACTCTGTAGTCAAGACTTTCTTCTGCCTTTAGGATTTAAGCTAGGACAATGAAGTTTTTCCTCAAATACTGAAAAGAGATGCAAGGAAAGCTGACAGACTTCCCACTGCGCAGAGGGGAGCCAGCCAGCATTTATCTTAACTCCAGAAAACTGGGCTTTGCAACAAACACAACAAATCTCTTTCCAGTAACTCTTGCACCCTAAACTCTAGAGGAATACAACTAGGAAAGCAGCTGCAACAGTGTAACTAAAACACACCTCACCAGTTTCTTGCTAGATGGTGCTCTGTAGCACATTCCTACCTCTATAATACCTGTGGTTATGCCAACCAATATACACAAGTAAAATTTAGTTTCAGTAAAGCTCTATTTTTATTAGAAAATAAAGGTATATATAGAAAGTGACACAGTGAGGGTGACAAATGCTCGAACCTTGAGTTAACTCAGATTCTGCACAGGCACACTTCCGTAAAGGTCAGGGGCTTACTTCATTCACCTAGCAAACACAATCTATGTTGTTAGCCTTCTTGTATCCCACCCCTGCCTCCCCTGACAGGACACCCCACCCCTCAGGGCAGAGATGCACCATCTGCATCAGTCCTCCCGCAACTGATGGGATAACTCAGGTCTACTAGTCACTTCATCCTTGTGAGCAGAGCTGAAAATCTGTCACTCCTTTTCTCCTGGATTAGACCCCCCTCCCCACCTCTCTCCCCTAAAAAAGGGAAATGGCCTCCCAGCCTCTTCAGCAGCCCTGGCCTGGGCTATCACAGGGAGTTCAGTGCAGAGAGGTCTTGACTCTCCTAGCTCTCTTGTGAGGTCAGGTTTTCTCCTTTGGCCTTTCCTGCTCCTTAACATAACTACCTTAACCTCCCCAGCCTCCACCTTCCTGCAGTCATTTCCTGGCCTGTGTGGGGACCATTGTCTCCTACGTTTCCTAGCTCCTTTTTTTTCAGCCTACCTGGTAGCAGGCAAACCATTAGATGCCTCTTGACAACCATTGATCATCAGGCTATCAGTCCATACAGGACCAGAATTTGCAAGCAGGCTGTGCCCTCTAGGCTAACCCAGCTGGGACAAGGGTCTTGTTGCTATGATTAAGACTCACTGCATTTCAGGAAATCATGAAGGAGCAGAGAGGCCAAAAAAGTTGGCCTTCTCAAAATTAAATAAAATGGCATCAGCCCCACACAGAAGGAGTAGTGAGCTGGGAATGACAATACTGGGATGCAAGGGAGAAATGAGGCACCTGACTGGCACAGGGTTTCAGCAGGGAGTGAGACACTGCCTGCTCCTTGGGACAATCCCTTCCCTAAAATCTGCCATTTCCCAATTTCCCAGGCACATCAAATGTAAAAGCTTAGCTCCTCCATCACATCATACTCTACACAAACAGCCTTTGTGTACCATAGGAGGAAAACAGCCTTTGTGTACCCTAGGAGGATTGCTGAAATCATTCCCTGCACCGAGAGCCATGGCAGATACACACAGCACCTCTGTTCTATGTTGCAAAGAGGTTTAAGAGATTTGAAGCTGAGGAAGCCACACGTGTATATTGTATTTCACGTTGCAGAAGGAGGATGCCTTGAGGACAGCATGCATGTTAATATTTTATGCATATAAAATAAATAAATTTAAGTAATCCAGGATTCAATATCTAGATAGTTTATAAAATTTTCCATTTTGTTGGCTTGTAGAAAAGCAAGTGTTAAATAATCAAAATATAATGTCTGACAGCTTTTTAGAAAACCTCTGCATCACAGTATTTAAATATATCGTTATGTGCTTTTTAAAAACCTGATTGGAAAAATTACATAATTTTGGATTTTCTCAACATTCAGTGCGTCAGCTTGCAGTGTTTAAGAGCCCTATAAATAGATGTTTGGACCACCTCAATACAATTCATGTATGCAGTTTTTTCCATAATCCACTTAACTCTATTATTCAAATAAAGTACAACTGGATCTTTTCTTGGGAACAGGGATTATGCAACGCTCAGTACAGGAGGTTCAAGAAAAACAGTATAAAGCCAAACATGAGCTGCAAAACCTGCAGAGCAGCAGAGTTTGTTTATATTTATTTATACACTGTGTTTCCATTTCTTTCTCACCTAAGAGCCACTAGCTCCTTCTGCTCGTTTTCATCTACCAAACTCTCTCTCATGTCTTAGTAAACCAAGAGTGTGGCCAAGCAGTTAAATACCAATTGCCAACTGATTAGTAATGAAAATATAATTGCAGGATGATCGAAATTTTAATATAACTAGATCCCTATGGTGTTAGGAACTACTGTTTCAAATTAAAATTATAAACCCCTACAGTACTGATGAGATTTTGCCAAAATCCACTGAATCCTGGAGTTTGTTAGAAAACCAAAATATTTACAGTTTCAGGTCTGAGATTACTAAATACTATGAGCATAGCTTTCTACACACAGAAAATTTTTTTCTCATATGTCTAAAAGGCAATTGTTATTAATAGGCTCCCTTAACTTCCTTAAGAGCCTTCCAGTTACATGTGAGTAGAATACAAACATAAAAATAAAAATATGCAATTCAGCAATGAGAACTTTGAATGAAACCTTTGCAAATATACTGCATAACACTACTTTTAATACACACACACACACATACACCTGTATGTATCTAAACCATATCTAAGGATTAATTTCATTATTTGTGTCTTTCTTTTCCTTATATACTGTGAACCACTTGGGTAAACAACTCTATGAAAGATCCGAGTATACAATTTGATACTAGCATAGAAGAAAGCTTCAGGATAAAGCACATTTAGATGGATTCTTTTCCTCATAAAAATTAAGTTAGGGCTCCTGGTCAGTTCAACACTCAAAACCTGTTTCTACAGATCCCAATTTCATCTCATGTTTAAGGTTAATTTAGAACCTCAGTAGCGTATTCCACCTCTCTGGGGAACTCCCAGCAAAAAGGGCTATTTTTAGCTGAATGCGGTATAGGTTATGGAGTTGTGTGTTATGGAGATGAAGACATCAAAGAAGCAAAAAAAAATTGGAGAACATGAAAGAGGTAGAAAACATCAGATACTGTCAAGTATCTACTGACAATTATAATGGGATATAATGCCAAAATGTTGGCACTCCAAGGAAGACATTTTAGGAGCTGTTTTTCCTTTTCATTAACTCAAGCCCTCTGGAATTAGGCACTGTGAAATGCACAGGTAGAGGGGAAGGGCCTCCCCAGGAGGAAAGAGCAACTTCAACAGGGCACAGAGGCAGAGAACCGTGTTAAGGCTCAGTACAAGTCAACTGGGGTACTGCCAGTGGTCACAGGGGGTTGAGGCAGCTGATGGCTCTTCTCTGACATGTCTTCCGCAGTAGGGAGATACCACAAGGAAAATAAGGCCAGAAGAGAAAACATCCACTTAAAATAGTAAATAAGTAGCAGTGAAGGCTCTAACAGTAAAATAAGCACTCGCTTTCTGCCTGACTTTCCACTGAATCACAACTCAGAAAACACTCTTTAGCCCACCCCGCGTCAGCTTTCACCACAGGAGGACTCTCTGCCACCAGCACCAGCAATCACAAGGAGTAAATGCTTAACCTGAGTATTGCCATCATTAGCATTTTAATGAGAAAGTACCTAAATGCAAGAATCTGCTTTAGTGTCACCATTTCTATTCTTTTTCCATTCTGTTTTCACTGGACTGGTGAGACATTTCACTTTAGTGTGATTCAGAATGCCAAGTTCAGAAAAAATATCTCCATAGTTACACACCTCTTTCTTGCAACAAAGTGCCAGTTCTCCATGGCTCTGCTTTAAATTTTAAGTGCTGAAACACAGTAAAAACGCCTTGCCTCAATCATCATGAGAGATTCATTTTCAGTTTTTAGCCAACAGCTAAAACATACAACATTTTCCTCTATGCAAGAATAACCGAAAGAGCCCAAAGGAAATAATCTAAGAATCCAACTCCTGATGTAAAAGAAAACTTTGTGTAGAGCTAACATCCGGTTTCTAATACCAAAAGGGAGGATTCAGCCTTAATTTATGTCAAAACGAGAGACATTCCAAAGAGTATGTATTTGAAAATAGAAGATATATGGCTCATATAAATATGCAAAACTAGAATCTACTAATACAATCTCTTAGCATAAAATGTAATGCTCATAAATTACTGCAATTTTAACTGACATTTGCAACATACAGAAATTAAGAGCAAGATATTAATTAAAAATTATGTTATGTATATTCTTTCATTTAACACAAGTATGACAATGTTATATAAGAAATCCCTATCCTTCTTTAGAAGACATGAAAAGACATTAAACAATAATTTATAGATCACAAGTCCAAATACCTTACACAGTCAGTGCATGTTCAGAACATCAGCATATCCAAGGTATCAAACTTTTCTGCAACTACACTCAACATGTACCCACCTGCCCAGTGCTCCTCATTATCCTGAAAAAAAGAACTGCACATCTGCTCTGCCAAATAAGATCAGAGAAGTCAGTTTGGCTGGATTAATCTATTCATATGGACAATATCATTAGTTAGAAATGCACAGCTGGAGCTATAGGTAAGCCCACGAGTGATTTTTGTTTGTTATTTAACTCCCGTTTCTAGAAATGGGAAATTATATGTACCTTGTGACTGTCTCACATTCTGATTTCTGCCGTTACACTCTAAAGTCATAGTCACATCTAAACATTTGCTTTATAAACTACAAAGAAATGTAGGTTGCACCTGGACTTCTTCCACTGACTCGGGACTTATAAATAAATCCTGCAAGTCCTATAAAAACATAAATTCACTTGACATGTGTGACTTCAATAGCTGATTCCTTTTGAGACCTGTGATAATTTCAGCATCTGTTTGAAGCACTAGCAGCACCAAGTCTAGAGCTCTCCGCCATGCCTCTGTCTTGGCTGTAACATTATCATAAACATTTAAACCCACTCCATGGTCAGCAAGGGGACCAGAACCACCCCTGAGAAGACCACCTCTTCTAAACTCTTCCCATATATACGCTGAGGCAGAGCCACAGTCAGCTGCTTTTTTGAGGTGGTGATCAACTGAGCTATATGCTTCCAACTCCGATACAGCTTTCGCAGCGTTACACATAACCACTGAAAGATACTGCTTCCAGCCACTTGCTAGTGCTTGGAGCACAACTGATTTATATTCGGTCGCAGATGCTGCCAGCCAACGATTGTGAAACTCTTTCACAGCATTTTTATTTGCTGGCTGTAAAGGCTGTTCTGCAAGCATCTGAATGTGACTAAGGCACAAGAGCTCCACTGCACCACCACCAAGAAAAACCTTCTCATCATTTAAAGCATGATGGAGTCGATACACTGAAGTCCAGAACTGGTCTTCAATGAGCTGCATCTTCGCGGCTACAGCTGTGGTAAGCACAGCTGTGAGCAGGGGAGTTCCCCGCGCTTTTATCCTGACTGGCACAACCTCACCAAGATCCACTGCACGCCCGTCGCAGGCCTTCCACAGCTCCACCTGGGCCCCGTTCCCCACACAAGCAGCATTCAGCTGGGTGAGGTATGTCACTGGCTGAGCACTGGTGACCTCCCCAAAGGCACACAACACATCCCGAGTCACAGAACCAATTACCAAGATACTGTTTGCTATACATCTTTCCATCATGTTTTCACACAAATTTCCTTTGACCAAAACCAAGTTTACTTCAAAGCTTATCAGAATATCTAACATTTCGCTTAGCCACAAGTCTCCTTCCTTTCTGTCCTGTAGGCCAGGATGCTCCAATATGGTCCTCACATTACATGGTCTGTTAAAACCTAAGTGACGATATTGTTCAGTTAAGTCACCATCCACTAGCAGAATCCGAAGGGGTTTGTCTTCAAAGTATTTGATAACTGTGGCTTGTTCTGGTGATACTAACGTGACAAAGCCCGGGGAGACACAAGAATAGCTTTCAGGCAGGCCCAGTAAACAACACGTCACAATTTCTGCAATATTAAACTGGGAAGAGCCCCTGCATTCCGCTCTCGCCTGCTGATATGCAATGATGCTTTGTAGCAGTTTGGTGCCAGTCTGATTGCCAGGGCTCAGAGCCATAGCCAGGTGTCCCAAACCATAACATTCACATGGATCTGCTGATGGTCCTGAAAGGCATCCCTGAAAATTACCTTGCTGACTTGAAAAATGACTTCTTCCTCGAGTGCTGAAGTACCTGCTATGGGTTAACTTCTGTTTGTTACAGCTGGATGCAGTAACACCTCTTCCAGAAATCACACATGTACTTCTGTCACCTGCTGGCTTGACAAGAGAAGCTGCTGAACCAAAGCCAGACAAAGGTGAAACCAGGTGCTTGCTAAAATTACAATCATCTTCTTGATGGGAACAAAAAATTATTGGAATTACATCTCCTGGTGCAGAAATATTTTTCTGAAAATATGGGAAAATCTGAGGATTTTGAAGACTGTCACGTCCAATTTGGCAAGTTTGGCTTTTAAAAGTTTTTGGCCCAACACTGCTAGAACACAGCTCTTTGTTTACATCACGTATTGATATTTGAAGACACTGGACTCTCTCACAGCAAGAGTTCAACCCCTCAGACATCACAGATACTATTGCTGAAACAGGAACATTCTGCTGGAGGCACTCCACTACGGCATTGCTCCACGCACCAACCAGAAACAACAGGGTACTCATCCCAGTCTTAAACTCCTTGTTTTGTGCCTGAATGGTTTCATTAAGAAGCTGTCCAGCAGCACTAGTTAAATCCAAACTTTCAATCAGTCTAACAGCAGAACAAATCAATGTGCTCTGGTTGGTGCTTTCGTCCACAATGAATTTACATGATTTCACTGGCCCCAATAATGTTCTTCCAGCTAACGCTAAGGATGAGAGTTGCTGAAGTCCAATATGTCTTCTTGGGTTCACGTCCCTGAAAGCCATGGCCAGCAGGCAGCACCTGTGAACGGAACACAAACTTATTGCCCCATCCTCACAGCACTCCAGAGCATATGTCACCAAAAATTTAAATTAACAGTCTAACACTGAACACAGCTGTCCTGTGAGGCTCTCTCTATAAAACAGTTCTTCATCCAGGGCATTTATTACAAGACATCGACGCACACAGTTGTTGAAATAGTGCATTGCTATAATACCATGGAATTTTTTCTTATTGGCAGACAGTAAAGTGCTGTTAATTCCAGTGGTTTCTTAAACACGAAGCTGTACAGACTGTATTGAATTACCATTTCTCTCCTGACCTGCTATCAGGAATTTCAGTTATTTGCCTTACTTAGGGCAAAAGTTCATTAGAGCAGAATGGACAATTATGTGCAAAACAAAAGTGCTCTGTACAGATCCATCTTGGTACCAATAGTTATGCCACTGATTTTAACCTTCAAATCTGGAAAAATGTAATCAAACTGATTTCATTCCAATTCTGTTTATTCCATTTAGCATGCATCAATACTTCATTAAATGTGGATGAAAAGGAATGCCACTTCTTCATACCTCACAAAGCAAACTGCCAAGACTTTAGAGTTTTGATCTACTACTCAGTTTTAAGATGCCAAAACTAAATCTTCTCTCCCTTGAAATCCCTTCCACACCACAGTCCTGTGGCAGACCACATGGCTTAAACTAACACTTCCTTTTTTTTAACTTTTTGAATGAAAAAGTATACACACCCAGAATTAAGAAGCCTTAGCCATATACCTTTAGAGCTTAGATTCTAATCCTTTATTTCATCTCCCTGAAGGTCCCTTTGCGTAGTATTCCAAATCCAAAAAGCTCTTTTTCCATCCCATCTGAATATTATCTCAAAAGATGATGAATATGAAAAGCAGAGTAGGCAGTCAGAAATAACCTTTATATGTTGACAGACCTGAAGTTCTATCCTAGCCCAAACTGACAATAAATTTCCCTATCATTACTAGATACATCTTGAAGTACCAGAAGAATCATTAACCAATAAATTATTTTAGTCTTTAGTTATCCATAATCAACAATGTAAGAAAAGGACTTTTAGTTAAGCAGGTACTTTTGACTTTAAAACTGCACTGGGAATGTGTATCTGAAAATCCACCTCCATCCAACATGCTTAAGGGGTTTTCTGGAAATTTTTCTTGGCTATGTCTTGCAATGACAGTCTAGTCATGCTATGTATCCACATCAGTACTTGCAGTAACAATAATAGGCTCTTTTTTCTTAACTGGAATCCTTAGTTTAATATCACAGGTAGCTTGTTTTGAAAGAGACAAAAAAACCAGAAGTGATTAAATAATCATCATTGGATCATAGAATCCAATATGAAACACGTTTACCCCACTCCCTCAAAAACTCATCATTCTATCTGATTTCTCTTAAGGATTTACTAGATCATTGTTTTTGCATTTTTCTCGTTGGCTGTTTTGGGGGGAGGAAGGCGTTGTTGTTTTGTTTTGTTTTGTTTTTTCTTCTTCCCTCTGAGATCACTGTTTCTGAATTCAAGCAGTTCTCAACTAGTAATGGTTACTTCTCAACCTGCTCTTGTTTTGATAGAAAGAACAAATAAGCAATTTGTGGCTCTCTTCATAAAATTTAGGAAAGACCTAACTTAACTCTGCTGAAAGGCTCAGTAACGCTCTCTCACTGCCTTGGTCCTTGGCACGTAGCTCTGGGCAGAAGGCATTCTGCTGTTTGGATGGGAGACAACTAGGGAAGGAATGGTGGGGAAAGGGTTTCCATTTTCCAGTACAGCAAACTTCTTACTCCTCAGTCAGTCTGAAACAAGGGTTCAGCTCAGTAATACGAGCCACTGTCTTATTAGAACAGTGTTTTTATTTCAACAAATGTGAAACCAAGACTGGCTATGAGACAGATGAGTTAATTAGCAGAGCACCTCCTATTTGCTTGCACCATCTCTGGCATGTGTGATTTAGGATTCTGTGATACTTTCCTCCCCTTTTTTGTTTTATGCATGTTATTTTGGTAAGAACATCATCCTATCCTACACTGTGGAAACCAATACATCACAGACCCAAAATTCAACTAGTCATCCCCCCATCCCCTGACCTCTTACCTTTTTCCATCCAGTCAGAGGTGGAAAAGGGTTGAGTGGAATTACATTTCAGAGTGAAACACAAGTGAGGCCAGCAAAGAGAAGGAGGCACCCTGGAGAATGAATGAAAACAGGTAGTGAAGGACAGCCACAAGTGAGACACCAACTATCAATGGCTTCTGCTGAGCTAACCTGCATGCTAACCTACTGTTGCATGCCTCATCACCCATCTCTGTAAGCAAAATAAAACCTGACCTTAGGTTTTTATGTTTACACGCACAGGTTTTAGGGTTCTCAAGTGAAGAACTATGGGAAACACGAGGTGCGCTAAACACTCATGACGTGCTTTGTCTTGCAGCACCTCAACCATGAAGGCTAAACTAATACAACAACATTTTTGATCACTTTTCCAAATTCACGTACTTCTGGGAAATGTTGTCCAAAAAAAAGTCTCATATGCTCACACATTCTCTGGCACTAACACTGGCGCACAATGAGTGAGAAACGGGTAGAAAACACTCCGCCTGCAACTAAACCACCAGTGCTCAGGTAACCGCCACGACTTACCCGGTCTACCTAAGAGCCAGTACTATTATTACTAACGTAGGAAGAAAGAAGGCTTCTTAGGTTGGTGCCGCCGAGCCCAAACGCCCGCGGCCCACCAGCCCCGCGCCCCCCAGGGCCTGCAAGCGAAGAGCAGCCAGGAGGCAGGCGGGGAGGCGGAGGGCACCCTCCCGGCCGGAGGGAGCCATCGCAGCGGGCAGGAGCCGCTTTTGTTTCTCACCGATCGGGCTGGGCTCCCCTCCGCTCCGCGGCCGGGCTGAGGGGGCGGCGGTACGGCCACGGAGCGAGGGCGCCGCGCGCAAACCCCAACGGCCGCCGCGCGCCGTTGCCGGGACACCGCTGCCGCGCACCCACCGGGTGGAGCCGCTCTCGCTGACGTCGCGAGCCCGCCGGGTGCCATTGGCCCAGCTGAGGGAGGGGGGGCGGGCTCTCCGCTGCGCCTGGATCGCTCATTGGGCGGCACGCGTTGGCCGCGCTCGCCGCCGCGGGGCGGGGCGGGCGGCAGGAGCGGCGGAGCGGCGTCCCCGGCCAGATGGTGAGCGCCCGTCCCCTCGCCGCGGGTCCCCCCTTTCCCCTCGCCGCCCCCCGCAAGCTCCCGGCTGAGCTCCTCCGCGACTGGTCCCGGCGGCCCGGGCTCGGCTTTCCCCTTGGGCTCGAAGGAGCGGGCGGTGCGGGCCGCCGAGGCCGCCTCTGAGGCTCGGTTTCCTCACACAGCGCGGAAGTCAACACCCCGGCTAAAAAGGGAAAGGAGAGTCCCATCCGTCCATGTCCCCCCCCTCGCCTCCCTTCCCTAAAACACCCAAGAATCGCACAATACGTCACCCCCTTTCAGGGCGTGAGGTAAGCCGGAGGAAATGTGCCCGGGCAACCTTCGCCGAGCGTACCGAGCTTACCTCCGCTTCGTTCGGTCCCCTGCAGCCTGGGGCACGTTTAAGTGGCGTTGGCCGGGTGGGAGGGTGAAACATAAAATGGATTTCTGCAACCCAGTTTTCAGATAAATGGAACAGGAAGTAATGCGCACGCTACTGTTCAGGATCTTCAACGTTTTCACTAGATTTGTAGGTGTATATGCCAGATGCAAGAAAAGAGGTTCAGGTAACATCAGTATTTTCTCCCAGGAAAAGCTCTCATGGGTTTCCTCCCAGAATGGAATATAAGTAGTAAAAACCCGATGGTTGTGTTAGCAGCAGGGAAAAGTCAGAGGTGTGGAGACAAATCGGTTTGCAGGCCAACCTGGGAGCGACAGATAATGTTTAAAAAGTAAATTTCGTTTTCAAATACAGCAAAATGGAATCTTCTGTTACACATTGGGTATTTAAAAGAGAGATTCTAGCCAAAAAGTGGTAGCAATTCAGCAGAGGTAGATTGCTTGGCAGTAGCTAGAAAACAAATTCCTTTCTTGGTATTTATTTATTTTTATAAAGGCCAACCATTTAAACTTGGGGGTGGGAGGGACTGCCCCTCCTTCCATGAATCTGTACAGATTCGAGGCTGAAGGACCAAAATCTGTCTGCTGCTCCTTTAGAGGAAAACCTGCACTCGAGGAAAACACCTTTCCTGCTCAGTAGGTGGTGGTGGGGAAACACTGCACTGCGCTAGCTTACGCCAGAAGCAAGGAAATGTCCTGGTATAATAACGCAGCAGCTCACGCAAGCAGATTAGTTCTCCTTACAGGACAGATTCTGTGTTGATCTCACTGCTACCACAGCATGTTGTTACCTAGCACCACAGCGAGGTGGTGGGCAGGCAGGCTAGAGCTACAGCACTCCCTGTAAAATCTGCTCCAGCAGAGCAGATGGTCTCAGACATCCCATGTCAGTGCTGACTTTGAGGAGTGACTGGAGTCCCATTTACATTTAAGACCCTGTACAACCAGCCTTTTTAGTTCTAAGGATGATTTACTCATGTTTTCCAGGTGAAACCACTCCTGACACATCAAGGCAACTGGCAGGAGGTGCAGAGGGTCTTAGTCACCTTAGTGGACTGTTCATGTTCAGACTGCCCGCCTATTTTTCTGGCATTACTCCTTTAATTGATGATCTTTCTGTTTAAAACAGAAAACATGAAGCCCAAATGCATATTCCCCTGTAAGAAAGTCTTCAGCTTGTTTTCTTTCTAGAATAACCTGAGAAAATGAGCATAGAGACCCAGGGTCTACCACTTGCAGCAAAGAGTGTCTTTCACTTCTGCTACAGCATTACTGTTGTTATTTGTAATTTAGTTGTGTTTTTAATTTTCCCCAGAGTGGGATATTTTGTATATTTTCTCTCCTTCACTTTCTGAAGGCATCCAACTATAGAAAACCTGGCTTAAGTACAGCCCAGCGGAAGAAAAGTGGCTTGAAACCTGAACTTACAGAAGAGCAAAAGCAGGAGATCAGAGAAGCTTTTGATTTGTTTGATACTGATGGATCTGGAAGCATCGACGTAAAAGAACTGAAGGTTTTCAGACTTTGTTTTCTTCTTGGATGGAGATATCTTTGGCCTCAGAACTGTAGCTGCTTTTTCTGTTTGTCCAGCCCTAACTCTTTTAAAATAGTTTTGGAGTACAGACAAGAGTAATGGCTAGCTGCCATGACTGAATTTGGGGTGTACTACATGGTTAACCTGAGAAAGCTCTGTATGTAATACTTCAGAGCAGACAGGCTTCACTAATACATGGAGAGTAGGTCAGATAGCTTTGAATATCTAAGCATTAGATGAACTAAATGGTTCCTCTATTTAGGTGCACACAGTACACCTTTCAGTTTTTGTGACTGGCTAAGATCATTGTTTCTGGGAAGTGGACTTCTGTTCTGGCATGAATGTCAGAATATCAAATTTTTTCTTCAACTTGGAACTAAACACACACATTCAGGAAAGATACAACTGTGTTTTCATATATGTAATGCAAAAACTACCTGGTTTTCAATTTTATAAAGAAAAAAACATCAGAATTGCATTTCAGCAGCAATTAAGGTAGTGTGTGTGTGCGTACAAGAGGGAAGATTATTCTTAGTTCTATCCCTATGTTTTTTATTTATCTAATCTTTTTTTTAAGTATTTATTATCTCACTGACCTTGATTTCTCACATATACAGAAAATGAGACAGAGTGTGTATGTACCTAGAAGCATGAGTTGCCTCAGCCTAGGGCTTATCTCAGGATTTATTTAGAAGTACTTACGCTTGGTTAAGAAGAGCGTGTTCTGTGAATGCAGATTATACATGTTAAAATACATTTCTTAAATTGGACTGAAATGGTTTGGCATCAACTGTTTAATGGTATGTTTTTCTTTTTCAAAATGAATTAAAAAGAATGGATATTTTACAATAGCAAGTGTTCCTCTCTGAAAGACAAAATGGAACGTTTTCAGTTGTCCCATAGCAAGAAACTGGTCCAAAAATACACTTCAGTTAAATGCTAAGTTTCTGGTGAGTTGGCACTTTCCAGCAGAAGAGTGTTTAGTGAGGAAATTTCTGCCTAATATCAACTATCAATTTCCACTAGAGCATGTAGAAAGAACGAATGTTCACAGTTCAAATCTTCCTCTAGTTACATGTTCTTGGAACTTCAGTCTCTGACTTCAATACACCGTAATCATCTGGCACCCTGGACTGTGAAACTATTAATAAGCACCCAAGCAGAAAAATCATTGTTCTAGACCGATGAAATGCCAGAGCCTGGTTTTAAACAGTGTTAATAGTAAGCATTTGTACCACCATCTACACAGTTGTTTTTACAGTAACACTTTGCTTGTGCTCTGTAAGGCTCAGAAGGTTCACTTAACTAGCAGAGAAGACAGTCTTTGCTGAGGCTGTGACACTTGGGGAGTATTGCCAGTTCCCACCCCCTCCCACTCCCCACCACCTAGACAGAAGGGCCAAGAGCTATTCATATGGATTTCTCCTCTCTCTGAATTCTGCAAGTTAACTGCATGTAATTCTGCACCCATCAAAATTAATGGGCATTCTGCCCTTAATTTCAAATGGACCAGATCACATCCCTGGTCTCCAACATGCCTTGAAGTCCCATTTTGATAATCCAGTCCCTCTAAGAACTATGTAAATTGGAACCTTTACCTAATTCAGACACAAAAAGTTTCTCAGGTTTCAGAAATATATCCATGTTCCCCATGGATTTAAAGAGGAAATATGTCTGAGTCTTAAGAATATCAAGCCTACACTACTACTGTTTGGAAAGATTAAACAAGCTGGTAAGAGTTATCAAGGTGTTTTCATTGCAGTGAGTAATTACTACAGTTTTGGATGAGAAAATTAAACCAGCTTCAGTGCAGCTGCTGACACTATAGTTCGGGTGGCCTCCTAACAGAATTGCTTTCTGGCACAGGTTGCGATGCGAGCTTTAGGCTTCGAGCCAAAGAAAGAAGAAATTAAGAAAATGATAGCAGATATTGACAAAGAAGGAAGTGGCACCATTGACTTTGAAGACTTTTTGGCTATGATGACACAAAAAATGGTAGGAATTCTTAACAGAAATTCTTGAGACAGCATAAAAATATACCAGAAAGGAGTATCTCAGTGGCAGGTGTTTTCTAATTAATATATGTTTTACTCTTGCTTCAGAGTGAAAAGGATTCAAAAGAAGAAATCTTGAAAGCTTTCAGATTATTTGATGATGATGGGACAGGAAAAATCTCATTCAAAAACTTGAAAAGGGTTGCCAAGGAGCTGGGAGAAAATTTAACAGATGAAGAACTTCAGGTAAATTCTGATTTGTCAGAGCTTTTCTAACAGGCACGGACCAACCCTGTAGCGCCTATGGGCTGGGTGGAAATTTATGCCTATACACAAAGGGCTGAAGGGTCAGAAATACGAAGAGCAATGAAATACATAGTTATGTTTGCACATGAAGTGCTTCTGATTTGTTGTTTTAATGAATGGAAGATCTTGTGTGCAGAGTCCAGTGCCTGATCAAATGTACAATGTGTTTTGTAGGAAATGATCGATGAAGCTGACCGAGATGGAGATGGAGAAGTGAGTGAGCAAGAATTTTTGAGAATAATGAAGAAAACTAGCTTATATTAATATTTGTTGCCTTGCTATACACAGCTGCTCCAAAAGATAACCTGGAAAAGACTTAAAAACTGGGCTTGTTTCTCCTGCTTATTTTCTGCCATATAAAGAAAGTCTGAAAGGACAGATTTTTGGTTCATTCTCTTTTTCAGCAAAGTTAATTGGGGAAGTGGGGCTTCAGTACCCAGAACTGTTAAAATGAGATACTGCAGAAGTGAAAAGGAAGGATGAACTGAACCTGCAAGGCAGGGTCCCTTCTCCTCCCCCCTCAGCAATTTCACTGATTGCCAGTTTGGATAAAGAACACTGTGTTTCAACTATTTCCCTGAAGGACATCTCACTTGAGATGTGAAGATCCCCACTGCTAATGGGAAAGGCCACTTTTGACTTTCCTAAGGCTACAGACTGAAAGTACAAGCACAGTGTTTTTATTCCTTTTAAGGCTTTTGGGTTATCTTTTGGTATTGGTCTACTTCTGTTTATTTCCATGAAAGACTCTAAAACCAATTGCAAAGCTCTCTTTATTTCTGTATGAAACACTGTTTTCTCCTGGCAAATAATTTTTAGACCTAATGGGAAGCAAATGTAGATAACCAGATTTGGCTCTTCCTTTCGAGCTGTGTGCCATCAGTAGATGTTCTTCAGTTTATCTGTTCATCTGAAACCTAGTTTACTTGAATGTAACCTGCTTGGATTATCAAAAGTTTCTGGTATAACCAGTCAACATCTTGTGCCATTGTTCTTACTCCCAAGACATTACGGAGCTGCTGTGATACCAGGATTTTAGGTACCAAAAAGGTTCATTTTTATGGTGCACTAGGGTAGATTTTGTCTTTGGCTGTTTACAGCCAAGTCACAGGGAGGACTCTCATCTGAAGTGAAGAAAGAGCTCACCTTGGACATCTGTGGAACACTGAAAGTATTTAGATCCATGCAATCCACATTCATTTCAGATATGACAGGTTGGGTTCTTTTAGGAGTACCTTCATTTTCTTGACTATTTCTTGCATATACTGTCAGTCTAAGACTTACTGGGGAGCTACATTTCCTTCTGTACTATGGTGACAGGGCAGTGACACACAACATGACATCCGATTATGTGATTCTGCAAGAGGGTTTATCCTTGGGTCCTGATCAGACAATCAGCTTCAAAACTGCTAGAAAATGGTATGATCCTACATCACGTGTCTCTCTAACAAGGCGCCTGAAGGAGAGTTTGTTACTGCTCACAGTGAAGTGGCAAGTAGGTAGAAACATTTCAGAAGGGTTCAGTGGGAAGAGGAGGGAAAGAGCGGTATTTCAGCAGTATTGGTGAAGATTCCGTTTTTGTTAGACACCTTCTGCTGCTTGACAGCGCTCGGGAGGTTTGCAGAAGGGCAGAGCCAGCTCTGGGCTTAGCTCCTTGCCAGAACTGCTGCAGCTCTCCCCAGTGGTGAGGGCCCAGCAGGGGGAAAATTAATTTTGGGAGCAGAAAGGAGACATCTTCACTTGCCTATCTTTTTCTCAGCATGCAAAAGAACATTCTGCCCCAGTCTCTGAACAACTCCAAACAGACCCTCTCTAACCTGTACAGAAGTAGGCTTAAACCTGTGGGAGAACAGGGACCATGTAGGACCCTGGAAAACTCAGACACACCTGTGAAGTCCGCTATTAACACATTCAGTGGGAGTAGATGTAACCTATAGCACTGGAAGCATTTTAAAATGTCTATTAACTTTGTATAAGTGTGAAATAAAACTGTTTTGAAAGTTACGGACTTTGTGTGCTTACTATGAAAACTAAATTATAAAAAATAATTTTAAAGTGTTAAATGGTTCCCCAAGTACATTTTCACTTTATCTTTTCTTTCTATGAGAGAAAATCTTAGGTGCAGTCATCTATCACATAATTACTCTCCCTCTTCCGCTATGCTGATTAAAAGTTTCTAGTACTAACCACTTGTATTCAGAAAAGGAAATTTGAAGTTCTAGTTGCTGATGGGGAATCCCGGAGCCTATTAGAGCGACTGTACTTTTTTTAATGCTGCCACAGGAAGAGATTGATAACTGTTGCTTACCTATGATGCATGTCACTTCCCTCTTCCTGTTCTAATCCCATTACCTGACTTTTGAAGAGAGGAAAAAGACACACAATCATACCTACCATAGACACTACAATGACAAAATGTTATTTCTGGCTTGCCCATTAATCTCTTAAATCTGGAATGTCAAACAGTGGCTGAATTAGCACAAAACTTGCAAGTGTTAGCGTAACAGAACAAGTGACTCGTGCCGCTTTACCTCACGGGATAGTGAGGGACATCTTGTTCCCTCTCAGCCACGTGCGCCAAGTATGACAACTAACACGGCAACATCGACAAGCAGCCCACAGCAGTGCTGTGGCTCCGCGTGAATTATTCGTGGTGACTTTTTGAATCTTTCCCATCCGTTCTAGAATTTGATCTTCTACATTCTATACACGATGGGGGGGAAAGGAGCCTGAGCAAAGCCAGTGGCAGAACTCAGAGTTAGGTTTGTGTGAGGAACAGGGCTTGAACTGCCTGTTCACCCATTTCATCCTTTTACTGTGCTAGAGAAAGTGACTCAGGTCAATGAACTGGGAAGGTAACCAGCAGACATTTTTCCTGGGCTCTGTTCTAGTGCCTCCTTGAGTAGCCTACCCTAAATGGAGGGGTTTCACTAGAGGAGACAGTGCCCCCCTCTCCTCCTCCTCTCATTCGCTCTATTCTCAAATATAAGAGCTGGGGCACTTCCAGGAGACTTGGATTCAACTCCTTTGCACTGAAGCACCAAAAAGGAGGCCAAGCAGTGATTTGGGTCACCTTGCATGAAAGGACCCAGCCCTGAAGGCCCCTGAATCCAAGCGGTCATCAGCGTTGGTGCGCACTGACTGGCACCTGGTGCAGAGGGGCCGGCATCAGTCCCCACACGTTCCCTCCATGTTCCCTACAGGCTGACCTGGGCAGCGCCGGGAGGCGGGCGGCTTCACCCTCATCCTCTGCATCCCTCTTCCCCTTCACGCCCACAGGGAGGCTGGGTTTTTACCTGGCATTTGCAAATTCCCCTCGGATGGCTGCAATTCAGGCGCTGCAGTATGTGCATCCAGCCGAGACCCACCCTTTTGCGACATCAGCGAAGCCCGGTTTTCAGTTTGAGTGTTCATGCTAGTCAGAGACTGCAAAAAGGAAAGCGGAACTGCAATGTGTATTTGGCAACCTAAATATCAAAGCATTGATAAGGGTGACAGCTGCTTGGGACATAATATTGCAGGTGACTTCCAGTTGAAAATATTTTGAAATGAAAATGTACTGAGCTTTGAATAAAATACAAAACAGTTCAAGAGAAAAAAATTTACTTACAGGTTATATTCCAAAATATGCCAATTGCATGGCAATTTTAAACTAACCTTTGCTGTTACCACCCCTCAGTAAGTTCTTTATCTCTCTCAGCCCCGTAGTACAGTCCCACAGTAAAGCAAATCTTCAGTTGGCTTTAGAAAAAAACAAAGCAAAATGTGACTAGTGCGCAAAGATGTTTTCAGTAATCTGAGCTGGCAACTTGAGACACCGGACATCACAGTGAAAAGTGGAGAAAGGCAGCGATCTGAAAGGCCATTCACTGCTTTGCAGTTATACCTGTGCCAGATGTGTGTAAAACAGCAGGCTGGCCAGGCATGAGTGATTGCAAAGGATTGGAGGAGTCTTGCACTGCAGAGGTGCTCAAGCAGTTAACTGGTAACAAGTGCTATGCTCTCACTTCTGTAGGTGTAAGTTTGTTTTCAGAGCAATAAGCACAGGGTCAAGTTCGAACTTTGCAGAAAAATATGGCTCCTTTTCACGTAAGCTTAATCTTGGTATTTAAAAAAGGATGGGAGAAAGCAGCAGAAGAAACTCGTCGTGTAATTTCACATGCCAAGAGGCTTACTGACAGAGTCCAAATATTTCAAGAAACTGATGAAGCAATTAATATTAAAATATTTAAATCGGTCCTTTACAGTTTTGAAGAATAACTCACGTCCTGCAAAGTGCCTGGTGAAGTCACACCGCATATTTGAAATGTTAAGTATTAATTCCCTGGAAACCTCCTCACTGAGTTCATATAAATCAAATATTGCTACACTACATCTGCTTTTAAATACCCCTGGATAGCATAAGCGGATTTTTCAGTAAGACTTGGGCAGTAGAAAGTGCTCTGGGCCAGAATCCACCATTGCTACATCTGACACATGAAAATGATGGCAGAACACATTTTCCTGACATGGGTTAAATCTTTCTGTGACCCCAACAAAAGCTCTACAGTACCATACTACTTCAGCCTATTCCATGCACTGGCTGGTACTTCTGGCAATCTCTGCAAGCATATCAGCACAATGTGCTGCCTTTAGGTGGTGCATTTTTTGTAGACACCATTATCCCAAAATATCAATATTAAAGCCGAATCAGGACCATTGAGACTGCATCCAGATATTGCTGCCAGTAGTGCACCTGCTCACTCAGAATTTATTCTGCTAGTTTGTTTGAAAATTATTTTTGTTTCGTTACACAGATAAAAGCTAATGAAGATGAGAAAAATACTGCTCCTGAGATGCTTCAAAACACAAGCTTTGTTTCAAAACCTAGTTACACATGCTAACAGAAACTAGCTGCAGCTGTCTGACACATTTTATAAAAACCAGGCAGGGAGAGCAAACAATCAGATAATTAGGGATGTTCTTCAGGCATCCTTCAACACAAGTGACCAGGCAGGAACAACCCACGTGCCTCCTGGTGCAGGGGAACAAACAAATTGCTCTGTCTGCAGGCTGGGGTGATCCTTGACACTTGAGGAAAGAAACCCTATGAGGGTAACTCTGCGAAGATAGCTTCCTTCTTGTCATATATATCAATATAAATAGTGTAGCTGTGAGCAGACAGTCACACCAAACAACACTGTATGCCAATGCCCAGGGCTTTTAGGCACATGCCTCTCCACGTCGCCCCAGTGACCAGGCAGCCAGGACTGCCCCTTTGCTACAGCCCAAAGTTCCTGTGAAAGTCTCTGCTGAGCAGGCACAAAATTCTGCTTGCTGTGGGCATTGTACACTCTTCCGAACTACAGGATGCACTCCTAATTTTTTACACTAAGGAAAGGTGTGCAAGTCTTTTCTCTCTCTAAGGGAATAAAAAACTGATAGATCTGCGAGCATGAGTCTCGCTAGAGGGCATCCAGTTACTAACGTGTAAGATGAGTGATGCTTATTTCCCTCCTCTGTGGCTTTTAATGACGACCGAAAGTAGGCTAACAAACATCACCCAGCTGGGGCTTGAAATATGTGGTTGGATACAGAAATATTTTTTTATGAAAAAAGAACACAAGGCTTTTCACACAACTGAAGTGCAAAATGCTGTAATTATTAGTTGGTTGTTCAAAACTAAACCCCCAAACCACGCTTTCTAAAACTCCCACTCTGTATCAATAATTACAAACACGCTCTCAAGGGAGCAGAGAACTGAACTTGCCTCTTGCACAGTCCCCCAGAGTGCTCTGACCACTACTCTGTAGAGTTATTTTCTCTCTTTGGGAATACTTCTATCAAATGGAGCCACTTCCAGCAGAGAGACAGAGCCAGACCCGCTGCAGGATGCTTGTGGCCCTCCCTGGGATGTGGGAAAGCTGGAATGCTGGCCTTGCTTCGAGTCGAGAGGAACAAGGATTTGAGAATTAGACTCTTGTCCCCAAGGTGAGTGTGTTGACCTTTAGAAGACTGTCTGCACCGGGATGTGTCTTATTCTGATGGCTTTGTGGGGTGGAGTGTGACCATGGAAAACGTTTGCAGGCAGATGCCTGGCCAGAGGTCCAAAGCATGACAGGTGGACACCTGCCTTCACTTAAAGGCAGCTCAGAATATCAAGAGCTTGACTGCTCGTATCTACTGCTGGAAAAATACAGGGGGCCTGCGAGGAAGAGATGTGGAGTTAGGGTGGAGCAAGACAGAGGACCTGAAAAGTTTGGTGCTTCAAAACCTCATTTATGTCTAATTCCTTAAGCAGTACAGATAGAAAGAAGGTTTTAAAGTGATGATCTGAATCTCTCTGATGAGCCAGGAACCCAGCAGAGCAGAACACACGTGAATAGTTCATGCTTTATCCTAAATGGTACTAACTTGGCACCTACCTTTAGAAGCTGCAGCCCTTGATGATTTCAGGGCTCCACTGGAGTGGAGTTGGAGACCTAAAACTATAGCTCTTGACCTCTCTGGAGTTCTGACTGCCACTAGTTACTAAACTTGAAATTGCTTGGGTCATTTTTTTGCTTGTCTGAATTTGTCTGGATGCAGCAAATAAGAACAAAGTTGTCAAACCTGAGCTGCAAACATGCAGAATTCTGGGCACAGTCGTAACAGTTTCACATGCATTTATTATTCCCCCTCATGTTGGATGCATGTGCACGCACACGCATATTGTATACGCACATGCAAATCCTGTAGTCTTGTTATTATTAGAGTTTCACAACAGAGAAAACAGATACATGCTTTCCTGTAAATTCTTTCAGACCTCCAATTGAGAAGTAACATGAAAGATCTAAACATCAACAAAAGCTGATTGTCAAACATTGCAGATCTGATTTATAAACACTAGAAGGTATTTCAGTACAAAAAAAAGTGACATTTGTACTGACTTCTAAAAACGTGGTATCAGATCATCTCAATTTCAGTTTTTAAAAGTCTGGGTTCCCCATGTTAAAAAAAAAAGCTAGGGTGACAGGTCCAGATGT